GCTTAATATAGCTGGCCCCTGCACACACCAAAGTCAGCAAAGGCCACTTGTTTCAACAAGCAAACATGTGAGCAGAGCTTTAATTTCTCATCATTGAGGACAGGCCTGCCATTTTGATTTAACAACATAATTTAAAATCTTAATCAGTGCTGCACAAAAGAAAATGAGACCTTTTACATATTGTTACAGGTTTTGAGGCTATTGGACTCGATGAATTTTGAAACAGTTGGTGCTAAAAGGGAAGGCGAGAGGGTATTGAAATATCTTTCTTATCACAGCCTCTTAGCATTAAAATGTGACAGATTCATCAAAGGTTTTCTTCACCTTATCTGCAGTTGTCTGAAGGATATCACCAGTGTGGAGATCTTGGAAGTACTTCTGTGCAGCATAAGTGATATCTTGATTGACACATCTTCAAATAAGGCTCTGAATAGCTTTCCATATTGGCCTCAAAATAATTCAGATGCCAAATTACATCTAGCAGACTCTCTGACTCCACTACGGATGCTGAATAAATTTTTTAAATATTTGGGGAAAATATTGAATTTTTGCATCAGGTCAAGGTTCATATATTTTACTAATAAAAGAGGTCACCAAGATGTTTGCTGATGAAAGACTGCAATGACTTTTGCTGTCTTGAATCATGTGGGATGTCTTTGCAAAATAGACCCTAGTTGGGCTGACCTTGGTGCCTGTTTCAGTTCAGACTATCCTGCAGTTCTTGGCATCTTCACATTTTTTTACTGCTTGTCAGATTTATGTTAGCTTTGAGCAAGAAAACAATTGAAACCTTTTCACACTGACTGTGCTTTTAGCTAGTTTTGCCAGGTGCAGTTTAGTTTAACCTCCAGCACTACAAGTTCATTCTGACTGTCGTAGGAAGGTAATCACTGACCCTAGTAAGAATACAAGTACAGTCTACGGGCATAAATTTTGCTTGGGTTGCATTCTTTGTATGCCTGGTTTCAATGTAAATTAGTTACAATAGTTAATACATAATTGGAACTACAGGCTTTGGAAAATCATATTTATTTTTGGTTTCGTATGATATAGTTATGCATGGTCCTTAAGTAATTTATAAGAACCAAGTTACTTATGGCTGAATCAACTGTCTGCATCTGCTTGTTTCAATAAACAAACATGTGAGCACTGTTTCAATTTCTTATTATTGAGCCATTAGGATTATTGTCACTAACCTAAATATTCACTCAATTAAGAAAAACTGAAAATGTTGAATGTCTAAAACAAACAGAAAATATTGGAAACAGCTGGTTAGTCAGCAGCTATGGAGATAACAGATAGATTAACATTTCAAGTGTATATGATATCTCTGTAGGCTTGAAGTGTTAACACAGTTGTTCTTACAGCAGATACTGACTGACCTGCTGTGTGTTTCAAACCATAATTCAGCCAGATTTAAAATGGATACAAATCATTGTACATTCTGACAGAGGTGTTGGGATCATGTTGAAGTTCAACAATGTTGAATTTAAACAGCACTTCCTAGCAATTGCAACATAATAATCATATTTGCATTAACTAAAGCATTAAATCACTTAGTATTATAAATAAGGAAGTGACTGAATTAGCTGCAACAGCGATCTGCTTGCTATAATTGACCTCATTGTTAATTATGTTAAGAGGATATCTTATTATTAATCATGACCTATTAGACTAAGAAAATTAACAAGGTTCCCACTCTGGTCAAAATTGGGTGGGAGCACCAAGGGGGATTATGCCGATAGATGTTGGACAAGGACAGGATTTTATGCTCTTATGATTGAATATTTTGCCAGCCCTTACTATTGAAGCCCACTTATTGGCAATTGTTTTTGGGTGAAGTACCGGAAAGCAACTGCTACCATTTAAATGCCCTTTTAAATTTAATGTAGTTGCTTCCCTATTGTTTTTTGTGATATAAAAACACCATATGGTCTATTAGCAGGCTCTGCAAAACAGAAGATTCTGTGTTCTTTCCCCATTCCATTTTTAACTAGTGATAATAGCTATGGCAGCAGTTAGGCACTACCAGACAGCCTAGTTTTCTATGGTTGGGAAGGGGAAAGCAGCAGAGTCATGTCTTGGATCACTACCATTGCTTTCAAAGAGACAGTGCATCTTTGTCCCTTGGCTAATGACATAATCGCGTTTGCCTAGGACCCTCTATGCAGTTGAGTATAATCATGCAAACTGATACTGTAGGAATAGGCAGATGAGCGAGGTGCTTCTGGCACCTGTAGAGCAACCTCAGCAACGGGCAATACAAAGGGAAGGTCAGTAATTTTAAGCACACTGTGTTCATTTTTATTTCTAAAATGTCTTTGTATAGCAAACAGGAATTATGGGTTCTAACCAGTGAAATCAGTTTGGTGCCACAGTCAGTGAACTACAATCACCATTAAGAGACTTTCTGGAATTCTTTATTTGGATAAAAAAAATCCCTCTTTCTTTTCATGACAGCAATAGTCTATCAACAAATTTAATGGGAAACAGCAATAGAGGTGTTTGGCTGATAAGTATTGATACTTAGATTCAAGGTTGCCTCCAGAATTAAGTACATCTTGAGTTGTAACTCTGAATTCACAATTGTGCTGAACTAACCTTGAAATTGTCCATTTTTATTTAGTATGAATTTGGGATCAAGTAGTCTTTGACACTTTAGCTAATAAAAATGGGCTCAGTGGTGTTTAGAAGAAATAAAGAGTTTGCACATAGCCCAGGATCATCAAACTTCAGATGAACCAGTACCTCACATCCACTCAGCATGTTCATTCTTTCATTCTCTTCCCCCTAATTCACTAGGAAACAATGACATTGGCCAAAAGATTATCAAAACAAAAATTTTTAAATAATTTGTCATAATATTTTCTGGTTGAATTGGTGCAATAGTGACTTTTGACCTCTAGATATCCTTAGTAGAATTTGTTATGATGAAGTACTTAGTAAATGTGGTGGTGGCAGTTTGCAGCAGAACCATCAATAACCGCATCGACCTTTTTTTATTATATTGGCAGGCTGTCCAGTTTGAATGTGTTGGATTCTTCATGTTGTGGTTAATTGCTTCCCCAAACACACTGAGACATGTAGCAAACTTGGGGCATAGTGTAGAGCTGCGTGGGGGAGCACAGTGATGGAGGTTTGAAATAGCATAGAATAAACTTGTTCATGATAACTTATGAAACAATTCTCTAGCTACTTAACATGTGATGTTTGAAGCACCTTCTCAATACTAAAGATGCATTATTCATGAAAGTTTTTTATAAGTGATAACATCAATGCACATACATACTTTTAATGACACATTTATAATTACTGTTCCTATGCTTATTGAGTATTTGCTGTGCATTAAATATATGATGGAACTTACCAGTAATTTCCTAAGTATTGTACTTTATACAAAAATAAAAATCTTATTGATGGTTCCATGCTGCGTTTTTAAATTTTGCAATTCTGCATCTATTTGCCCTTTTATTCAAAGTGCTGTAGGACAGTTTAGTAGTACTTAATTTCAGCTGTTTTGCTGCAATACATTGCTATAAAATAACAGAGAATTTCTGTCATGTACCATCCTCAATCTATGAAGTTGATTTGATCTAACATTTCTCAATGTTAAAGATTGTGAGCCCTGGACTCAGTGAATTGTCAGATAACTCATTCCACAATGATTTGGATTAGGGTAGCTTTATTGGACCACGACCAGACACTGTTGAATTATGTAAGTGTTTCTACCTGTAATCTAGAAATAACAAATTCTATCTTTGGAAACTTCATTAGCAGCAATGTATTCTAAGTAGATATTTTCATGTTTCCTGCCATACTACGTATCAACTACCTATAATAATCTGATCTGACAGCAAGTGCACGAAAATAATTAAGCTTCTTTTATGCCTCAGTATTTTTTGGCGATTGTTGTTTGTGTCAAATTTTTTGTTGTTGCTGATTTTCAAAATAGTGTACTGAAAACTAAAATTTCATTTTCTATTGTCTGATTATTAATAATCATTTTGCATTCAAGATCACAGGCTTATTTATTTTGCTTGAATTAAAATTTACATCAGTATTAACGAGATAGAGTGTATATAGATAAAGGTTACTGAACACCTGCCACTGCACACATCTTGAGCAATATTGTCAAATATTCTAGAAGTTATCAATTTGATGTTAAATCTGAACTGTTGTGTAGTGTCGTAAAGACAAGATGCTTTTTGAGCTTCTGTTATTGAGCAAAACTTTATTTTTGTGTTTGTTGGAGATACCAAGAGAAGGAAATAAAGATATGTTTAGGCAGGATGTTAGGCATAGTTCCAATATGTATCAGTAGAGTTAATGTTGGACCATTGTACTGGTTCGGATGTTAAAAGGTAGACAATTATTTATAATAGAAGGATTTGTCCAGTACACTGATGGAATATAATATGCTGTGGATCAAGACCCTGCTCTCAGCCATACATCCATTTTATGCAATTATAGTAATTTTGTGGGTTGAGGATATCTCTGTTTGACTGACAGTTTAAAAAGAAATGAATAGAGTAGATCAAATTTTGATCACGAATTCATGTTCAAAGTTTAGTTAATGAGTTTCTTTATAATTCCTACACATCTCATATAAAGGTATGTGTAGCAAAAATGTTAAGTCAGTACTTTAATACCGTGCCAAGATACTTTATCAATGGGACATGGTTACCATACCTGCTATGACTGTTACGGTAAAGGTACTTTGGACCTTTTCAAATGGCATTTGAAGGAAAAAAGTATATGAAGTACCTTGACACACCTTTCTGCTTTGAGATGGGATACAAATGCAAGTTTTTGACGTGTAAACATTGTTATTCCAGTGATCTGCTTAAAAGAGATAACTAGTCAATGAAAGTCTGCAGTTCAGACAATTTTAGAAGATATGTTCCTGTGTTACTTTTTTCTTCCTATGAGGTCTTCTATCATGGATGATGTATGATTAACTATGAATTATTCCTCATTATGTGTCTCTGGATTTGTTACAGATGAAGATGTTAAGAGCTGATTTCCAAACATCTTTCCAATTCTTTGGCTGAGATAATCCTGTCTATCCAGATTTCTACTGGCTTCTTCAGATCAACATTTTCATTTTAATAAAAGTTTGATATAAAGAGACAAATTGTCTGTTTGGTTATTGGTTAAAAATAGATTTTGAAAATTAATTTTAGGTGACCTCAACATTTATTTTATTCTGAACCAAATGATGTACCTGAATTTCCATTTCCGGGACAAAGCCTGTTTATCCAAATGTAACTGGATGGATTCCTAAATTTTGTTCAACAACTGTAATCAGTTACTCTCCATGGTCCAATAATTTGTTAATGCCTTCCTGGACCATGAGTAGAAGGCATCCCTGAAATAAATGCATTGTCGATTTGAATAAGAAAAGGTCCAGCATAGACACAATGTGTTTAGACTATAAGAACATAAGACATAGGAGTAGAAGTAGGTCATTCAGCCCATTGAACCTGCTTCACAATTCAATGAGGTCAAGGCTAATCTGATAATCCTCAACTCCATTTTCCTGTTTTATCCCTATAACCCATGATTTTTTTACTAATTAAAAATCAGTCTGTCTCAGCCTTGAATATACTTAACAACCTAGCCTTGACAGTGCTCTGTTTAAAATAATTTCACAGATTCACAGCCCTCTAAGAGAATTAAATCCTCTGCATCGCTGTCCTAAATAGGTGTTCCCTCACTCTGAGATTATGCCCTCTGGTCTTAGATCTCCCACAAGGGGAAGCAACCATTCTGCATCGACCCTGTAAACCACCCTGAGAAGCTTATAGTTTTTTTTATCGCTCTTCTTAATTCTAATAAGCTCAACCTACTCAACCTTTCCTCAAAAGAAAATCTCTCCATTCCCAGAATCAATCTAGTGAAACTTCTCTGGACTACCTTCATTGACGATATATCTTTCCCTAAATAAGAGGACCAAAACTGTTCATTGTATTCCAGGTCTGACTAGTGTCTTGTATAGTTTTAGCAAGACCTGTCTATTTTTATACTCTATTCTGTTTGAAGTAAAGGCCAGCTATCCACTTACCTTTTCTATTACCCAGTGAACTTGGTTGCTAGCGTTCTGATTCATTCACAAGAATCCCAAATCCCACCGTGTTGGAGCTTTCTGTTGTCTTTCCCCATTTAAATAATACTCAGCTCTTCTGCTTTTCCTGCCAATGTGCATAATTTCACATTTTCCCACATTATATTCCATCTCCCAATATTTTGTCCACTTACTTTTCCCTCTGTAGACTCTTTGTGTCATTCTCAAAACTTGCCTTCTCACCTATTTTTGTGCCGTCCTCAAACTGGATGGTGGTACATTCACTCCTGTCATCCAAGTCATTAATATATATTGTAAATAGTTGTTACCTCAGCACTAACCTCTATGACACTCCACAGGTTGCATTCTGAATATACTCTCCCTATCCCACTCACTCTTCTAGTAGTTAGTGAATCTTCAGCCTATGCTATTATACTACCTCCAAGACTCTGGATCATTTTCTTATTAAGTAGCCTTGTCTGCTGTACCTTATCAAATGCTTTATGGAAATCCAAATATATTACAATGACTAGTGCCCATTTATCTATCCTACATATTACCTCCACAAGTAACTCTAAGAAATTTGGCAGGAAGGATTTCTCTTTTGAAGCCATGCTGACTCTGCTTTATTTTGTTATGTATTTCTAAACCTGAACTATTGCATCCTTTATAATAGATTCTAAAATTTTACCAATGACAGAAGTTAAGCTAACTAGCCTACAGCTACCTGACTTTTATCTCCCTCCCTTTTTGAATAAGGATGCTAAGGATATTACATTGGCAATTTTCCAATCTTCTGAAACTTTCCCGAATCTAAAGATTCTTGGGAGATTACTAACGGTACATTCACTGTTTCTGTAGGTATATTCTTTAAAATCCTTGGATGCAACTTATCAGATCCAGCCCTCTTAGCTCCTGTAGTACTTTTTCTCTACTAATAGTTATTGTGTTTATTTCCTGCTATCCCCTTTTACGCCTTGATTATGTAGCATTTTTGGAATGCTATTAATGTCCTCACATGAAGACTGATGAAAACTTTTTATTCAACTCTTTTGCCATTTCCTGGTTCCCAACTATTATTTCCATAGTATTGTTCTCCAAGGGGTCGTTGTTCACTTTGGTCCCTCTGTTCCTTTTTATATATTTAAAGAAGGTCTTACGGTCTTTATATTACTTGCTAATTTGCCTCCGTAGTTTATTTACTCCATTTTTATTATTGTTTTTGGTTATCTTTTATTGGCTGTTAAAACTTCCCCAGTCCTCTGGTTTACCACAAACCTTTGCCATATTTTATGTTTTTGTTTTTTTTCAATTTGGTACTAACCTTAAGGAAGAGAACACTAGACTTATTTTTGGTGAGAAACCACATTGCCACATCTCAGGTAAGCCTCCAAGAAACATGATGTTGATTAAATGGTGCTCTATCCAGTGCCTAAGTATCAAGTGGATGTAGAGATGTGATTCTTCAACTGAATATGTAGACGGGATGACGGAACTTAAGCATAAAGCAAAATATGCATAACACAATAAATTCTGACTTTATAAAATGACTTGTAATTTCTGACTTTGTTATGGCATAACAAATAATGATAGAAAGAGTAGGTTTCCTCTGGGCAAAGGGTAGCAAAATTCTCGATGTATTTATAAGAACAAATTTACGAGTAAGGTCAGAACATCTGGAGTCAAGGAACAAACAAAAGGATGGATGACGAAACTGAAAACAAAGAGCAAAGGTTAAGGGTTATTATTCAGCTTGGTAAGTGGTGGGAAATGATGTTTGACAGGAGTCAATTCTGGAGTTTACTGTTGTTCATCTTTAACATAAATTATTTTGTCTTGGGAATTGAAAGTATAATATCAGCATCTTTAGAAGACACCAAATTAGGAGATATTAAAACAGAGTTGAATGGTGACTGAATACAAGAAGGCACAAATAAATCAGGCTTTCTGGAAGGCCTGCTAACACAGATATTTTAGGGTGTATCTCTGTCAGTCTTTTCCTGTGCACAGATCAAAGCCATTATCTGAGTCATCCTCAGTAGTGTGACTTCATACCCTGGCAAGCTCGAACCGATGCTCTCTTGATTCCCCTACATTGGCTGTGATCCCCTTGCACCTGAATACTGACCATATGCAGAATCCACTCTATAATATTCTCCACCATATAGACCCAGTATCTAGCTAATGACTGTGAAAATTAGGTCAATGAAGGTTCTTTTTCCTTAGAGTGTGTTCTTCCCTAGCTCTTCAACTCAGGAACCAATATAGTGGTAATGTTATTCAACTAGTAATCTGAAGACATAAGTTGAAATCTCACACCATAGCAGCTGAAATCATTTAAATTCAATTATACAATTTGGAATGATTTCTCTGGAAGGAAGATCTGCCATCCTTATCTAATCTGGCCAAAGTGTGACTTCAGGCCCATAGCAAGGTGACTGACTCCTACCTGTCTAGAAAAACACTCCATTGTATCAAATTGCTACAGCCAATGTGACGCAAAATAAAACCAAATAGATTACCTGACATTGACTTAGGTTCTAGGAAGGAAAAAGTACGCAAAGTCTTCTCAATTCTGCAAAGTCTTTTTCACTGATATCTGTGAACTTGTGCCAAAATTGGGATAGTTAATGCACTTATATTTTAATGTCATTGTTGCAAATTAACTGAGAAGAGTGCACCAATTGTCAAATCCCATTATTCCAAAAGTCATCAAAAATGTCAAAACCCAATCAGACCAGCAAGATGACCAGTTTACCTGACTGACTGCTATACAGGACAAAGTCATTCATACCAGATTCATTCATAACAGAAATTAACTGTCCATTGTAACACATTTAAGTTGAACAAATGACCAAGTAAAGAAAAGATTGTGAATCAAGTACAATGTGAATTAAACTATACCTCTGTAAACCCCTAATAAAACAAACAAAAGATGGATAGTCTGACACGTATTATCGGTGAAAAAATATAAACAGGGCAAATGAAATTCTTGAGTCCAGATTTCAGGGGTGATTAAGTTATTTTTCTGTTAACTTTGATATTAGCAATGATGATACATTGTCTGCAAAATGCTGACCATTCTTCAGTTTGATAGTCGATCTGGTGGACCTTGGTTTCTTCTTGTATTAGAGTTCCTTATAAATTTCTTGGTTTTTCTGTATTTTGAATTGCAGTGAGAGAAGGGTGAGAGAGATGTTTTCTGTTAGTTGGTTCTGGAGGTTTCTGGCTGCTCTGCACTTACAAGCCTGTGACAAACGGCAGCTCGTCTAATTTGAGGACTGACATCAGGCAGTCTTTCGTTACTCAAAGACTCCGAGTGCCACTCTGTCTCAAAATATTCCCCTCACTGCTTAAAAAACAACACTGTCTTGCACCGTTAAAAATGTGCACTACTTGCTTCTTCCAAGTTGCAAAACTCTCCTGGTACTTTAGCTACATAACAGTGTGTCTGACCTCTATTCCACTTTATAGTTCAAAAGATAAATGTGGTCTCTTACGCAATGTTCCACATGTCTGCACCTGAGCTCCAGAAGTGATGATACAGTGGTACACAGCCAGGATGGAGATGCCCTGGGTATCCTGTGCCATCAGGTTGAACTTGCTAGTTCCTTTCAAAATTATGCATTATCCTGACTTTGAACTGTATCAATGTTGTTTCACTTTAACTAGGTCAAAAACATGGAACTCCCTTATTAACAGCATGTGGGTGTACCAATAGTAGATGGTATACAAAAAAGGTTCACCATAACCTTCTCAAAAGCAATGGATGGGCAGTAAATCCTGGTTGGGCAAGTGACACTCACATCCCATGCATAAATAATTTCAAAGAAAACCAACAAACTGAGGAATCAACACTGATTCAAAGGAGTGTGTAGAAAATAATGCCAGGAACAGTAGTAAGCATACTCAAAAAAGAAATAACAATCTGGTGGTGATAACATTCATGCTGAATAGAGGAAGTAACATACTATTAACAGAGCTAAGCAATCTTACAATCAATGGATCATAGAAAAGCTCTGTTGTCCTGCCATCCTATAGTTATGAATGGTGGTGAACAGTTTAATTAT